TTTAAAAGATAAAATAAACTTTAAATTAGTCATCAAGAATATATGGAAAATATATAAGTTGAAAAAACAGAGAGAGGGAGAGAGAGAGAGAGAGAGTATGAAAAAATGCTTTGTTAAAAAGTGGACAATCAATATCAATCAAGTTAGAGTGATATAAATTAGAGCCAATTAAAAACAAAGAATTAAAATTATAAAAGAGTAAATAAGTTTGATAGAAATTTTTTCCACACACAATTATTTTAAAATTATTCATTTATATATGTATAAATATCATTGAACCGTGAAATGGATGGAATTAAAAGAATGAGTGAGTAATCATTAACTGTTAAAAGAAAACAATAAAATTTCAAAGTATCAAATAAATGAGAGAAAGAAGAAAGAGAGGAGAAATAAGCAAAGAAAAGAAGAAAGAGTGATGGAAAAAGTAATGAAAAATATGGAAGAAGAAGAAGAAGAAGAAATAAATGATTATCAAATCGATAATAAATGAATTATTTTATTGAATTTATTGAGAATGAAAAATTTGATTAAAATAATAGGAAAATTATGCCAAAGAAATGGAATGGATTAAAGAAGAGATTAAAGTGAAATTTAAAATGCTATAAAATTAAATCAATGAAAAATTACAACATAATACGTTGTGAATGTATAAGATTTAGTGAGAGAAACAAATGGTATTAATTGCTTATAATTAATTTAAAAAGATAAAACTAATTTAACTGATAATTTAAAATTTTGTCTATTTTGTTAAAAAAAAAATCTCAAAAAGAAAAATGAATTCGATTTTAACAATAATTAAAATTTGAACTTAAACAATTATTCATTAATTGAAACAATGAATTCATAAATGAGACAAACTTAATTTTGTTTAAATTTGAGGAACAAATAAATAAGATTAGAGAACGAGAGATAAATATGAAAAGATTGCACATTTTGTAAAAATTTTTAAGAAGATGCTGCTCTATTCGACAGTTCGTATATATCATATGTATATTGTTCATTGACAAATTATTGATCGGTAGGATTAGTTGGCTATTATTGATCGATTAATAAATGGTACTTAATGATATCCATTTTAATAAATTTAATCTTATCAATGATATTAATGATTTAAAATTGTATAATTATTTATTATCATTTATCATAATGAAGCATCACTTCTAAAAATGTCTTATATATTTCGTTCAAATATTTTTATACAACTAAAGGAATATCTTGAGAATAAATCAATAAAAGTCTGAATTTATGTATAATAACTATTTTCATTAATTCAAATTATGAATTAAATTATGGGAAGATTATTATCTTAATTTAATTAAGTAATATTTCATTGCACTATCGATTTAATATTCAACCTTATCATTTGTTTATCTTTATTCTTTATCAAATTTCAAATATTAAAAGGAAGAATGAGAGGGAATTAAATTCAACAATACAACAAATAATTCATGCATAATGAATGAATTCCTTTTCCATTCAATTAAATTTTAATCTTTTAATTATTATATAAGAAAGAGAAATGTAGATGATATAAAATAGAAAACATCTCTAATAGCAAACATAAAATTTATAATGAAAAAAGTAAACTGCATAGATTTCACCTGTATCGATATATCGATATTTGAGCATTTATATGAATGATTCATATATTATTTCAATTATATAATGATAAGCGTTATCAAAATGCTATCAATTATTAAGACTAACTCACAATATTTCATTAGGAATAGTTCGATCAATATCAATTAATTTCAGTGGAACATTTCTTCATCGGTAAGGAATTATTTTTGATTGCAATCAGCCACTTAATAACTGTCACGATGGAAGTTAGAAGTTAAAATAAAAAAAGAGGATTAAAACAACGAAAAACGGAACAACACAAACGACAATTATTAACTGAGCTTGGCATTAGATCACATGATCATGATTACGATGATGATGAAAACATTATTAACATCGGAAGAGGTGAAATAATGATACAGATGAAATTACTACATGATTCATCTTTGTGCCAATCGTCCTTATCATTCCCTGTTCTTCTTATTAACATTTATCACTGATTGTCATCATTATTATATTGTTGGCGACATTATTTCTCTCCTCTTGCAACAGTTATTATCATCCCCATTAACTGATAACAATCTTGGTGTTAATTACTTTATCATCAGATGATGAATATATCATTTTTATTGCGACGATCATTATCATTATTATCATCAGCATCAGCAAATACTCGAAGGTACTTACTCATTCTTAACGGAGAGAGAGGAACGAAGCAAAAGTTTTCAATATGAATAACGAAATATCGATGAATATATAGGTGGCATAGAAGAAAAAGGAAAAGAGTGAAAACAAGAACGATAGAAAAAAGGAAAAGAGTGAAAACAAGGGCCGAGGCGAAGAAACAGAAAGGAAAGCAAAGAGTTAGAAGAAAAGGAAAGCAAAGAGTTAGAAGAAAAGTAAAGCTACTATTTGCAGTAGCTACATTTCATCGACTTCTACATAATTCCAAGTGTGTCGGCATTTTCCAATTGTAAAGTCTCTTCTTCAGTCCAATGTCATTATCAATACTATTATCATTGCTATCACTAGCACAATTATAATAGACATCACTGAGATAATATATCAATAGATATTATTGAGATAATATAAAAGACGTACGAATATATCGTAATGCAACCGTAAACACTTCTCCAAGCACACCGGAGGAATTCTTTCACGATAGTAATGTTGGCAAGGGCATCACCAAACTAACACATACACACACACATACACACATACATATACATGCATACATATATACACATTGAAACAGGCGGTTGCTTAATTTCCGGTGACGAAAATTCAATGGTTGTCCTCTCCAACAATATCGTTGATGATATCATTATGAATATGATATCACTAAATACTACGATATCACTATGACTTATGTATCTAATCGAGTTGAATAGTATTGTTCATTCGTTATAGGAATTGCTTGGTACTTTTAAATGATTTGATTAGGATCAGGAATTGCTTGATGCTTTTAAATTATCTATAATGGAAAGGAGAAAGTTCTCTTTGTCAAGATTTTCATTCATGATTCACCATAAATATCATTGTGACCTTATGTGTTATCGTTATCATGATAACATTAGTTATCAAGGGGGAAACACACTCATAATTCCGTAATATAGATGTTATTCATTCCACTTTTATTACATTCTCGAAATTCTTTATGAATAATGATTTTCTAAGAAAAATGCTAACCATTTCCAAAAAACATAATAAGTTATTAAACTATTAATTCAATATATCTTTAAATTATTTAGAAATTATTGAATCGTTGTAAACTGGAATGCATTATGTAAAATTTAAAATTATCGTAAAATTGCAACATTCATTATTATTCAAATATTAACGAAATCCAAGAAAGTGAACAATAAATCACAAAAACAGGGTGGTATATATAATAAGTTTATGATGAGTTCATCTGGAGATTTCTAGTCTACAAAATAATACCTGACCTGAAAATCTGTAGTCTACAAAATAATGCCTGACCTGAAAATCTGTAGTCTACAAAATAATGCCTGACCTGAAAATCTGTAGTCTGCAAAATAATACCTGACCTGAAAATCTGTAGTTTAGAAAATAATACCTGACCTGAAAATCTGTAGTCTACAAAATAATACCTGACCTGAAAATTTGTAGTCTACAAAATAATACCTGACTTGAAAATCTGTAGTCCTGAAGAAACATGAAATACGATGGTATTCTAATCAAATTTCATTCAACATGGGTGATTTCCCACTTAGTGATTGATTGGGCTCGAAGGTAATTTTATGGTTGTAGCGCATATATAAACAACTTCTCCTTATTTATTCATTTTTATTTGCAAATTGTTGTTATACATTTCATTGATTTGACGAACTTATAAGTAATGAATGCATAAATTTATAACATAAGTGCAAATATTCCCGTAGTAATAATCATAATCATTATGGTTATAATCAATAACAAACTCAACATTTTCATTTTGCTAGTGATATTTGGCCACATTTTTCAAAAAGGACAAAAAATACATTTGCAATCATTAATGTATTCATAAAATAAATTCTTATGTGACTCAGATATATAGACTTGTAGGTAAATTTGAACGACTGAAATGGAAAATTTGTGTTGAAATATATTATAAAAGGCAAAATAAATGTCTCCAAGGTTTTTAATTTATTTAGCATGCTTTTTGAACCAGTGATCCAAGGTTCGAAATAGATTATGTCATCTCTTATAGTTATCGCGATAATCTTGAAAGGCAGTAGTCATAATGTTCATTTGCATCAATATTTATGACAGACATGATTAAAGAATCGCAACAATCACAGTTAAGATAGACATAACTAGAGTTATGAAAATACAATTTTATACGTTGTTTTGAGAGATCAATAAAATCGTAAAAGGAACGAAATTTGAGTTTATTATAAGTTTCATTTACATGAATCAAAATTTCCCAGTTGAAAAAAAGAACTGAATCTATTTATTCAACTTAACTGTCCATTTTTCTAAGTTTTCTTTTTCAGTTCAAAAAAAATAATCCGGAAAATTTTTTAGAATTATATTTGGATACATACTACAAATACTAATAACTGTATCATGTACTAAACAAAGTATAATAAAAGAGATAACAAAAAAGGAAAAAAAACCTGCCTGATAAATGCATAGCAAAAAGCTTTAAAGCTTCGACAAATTATATACAGCTATACTTCAACATTTTTATATTAGAATATTCTTAAATCATAATACAAGGTGCTCAAGACTGGCTAAATTTTTATGAAAGAGCAATTTGTCAACAGAATTAAATGTTACAGATTTGAATACAAAACAAAACCGTATTAATCTGAGAGGAAATAATTCAAATGATAAAAAAAATTTCTTCTCTCGTTAAATTCTACAATTTCTAAAATCTATACATCGAATATAAATGAGATAATTCTTGCATATCATGAAAAAAAGAAAATCTATTCTCAGTTCCACGTTTCATATTGTAGCCTACCTTTTTTTTCAAGCATTTGTATGAATTGTTTACCGTTTTCACCGTTTGCATCCACAATATTTTCTATGCTTGCGGTTACTTCAAGTGGCATATTACCAGCCCTTCCTGCTATGAAAACATATGCTGGAAGATTATAAAGATTATTTACATTAAGCAAATATCAATATGCAATTTACGAAAGTTATTTTTTCTCATTCTTAATAACTCCACAACTCTAAAGGTCTTTAGGTAAAAAAAGTATTACAATACGGACAATTTAATTCCTACTTTTTTGCTTTTAAGAATGAACGCATAATTCAAATATTTTATTCAAATGGCATACGAAAAAAAAAGTTACCATTATCGTTTTTTATAAGGTTCCATATTTCATCACCATACTCTTGAATCTTATTTTGTACGTATACCTGCAAAATCATATATTTCGATAGCTAACATAATTTTCTCGCAAATCAAGGTACTATCCAAAATATTTTATATTACTTATTTACCATGTAACATATAGTACATATGGTACTGGTATCTAGAAATCGAAAGTCATCAAAATTAATAGCAAACTGGTTTTCACATCAATCATGTTGCAGTATTACATTCCGCTCTTCTGCTTTAATTTTCTCTGGTTAAAATTTTATTGGAATATTTCGAGGTATTCCCTCTTTCCTTCATTTTCTCATTTGAACAGACACTAGAAGCACTAGGAATAGGGTTTCTGTAAATTTGCCAACATACTAATACACATTTCAGAACAAATATGAACTGAAACATTTTTGAATAAAATTATTGGTCACGATAACAAACTAGAAATTAATTAAAGCACTTGAATTTAAGGCGTTATAGAATAAAAAAATAATATCAAAGTTTGCACCTTATTTTGCTGATCTCGACTAAATGCTGTTATAACGCGAGCTCCTGTCAATGTACGCCATTCTTCAGCGAAATAAAAGTCTCTCTGAGCCCCTCGACATCCAAAGAATAATATCGAATTTTCTTTTCCATCGCACAACTGCCTTAAAATAGTCTTAACAAATTAAAATAAAAGTCTTAAAATTAGAAAAAAACAGTTTGGACTCATTTCCTTTTTATGACAGATACATAGTTACTTGGCAGCTAATTTCATTTATTAATTAGCAAATATTAAGTTATCAAACATCAATTTGATTGATTCGTATCTGATCTTAATCCATCCAACTCAAATATGAATCAGATCACTCATATTTTGATTTATTTGCACTAAAATATAATTAACGGTATTTGTTTAGTTTCAATTGTAAAAATTTATTTGCTCAATTTCATACCTACCGAAAAACTTCAATTTAAACTTTATTAAAAGTTATTATATTATCTGCTTAGGTAAGCATATTTCAAGATTGCTGACCTTTTAAAGTCTTATTCAAAGCTCGATAAATCTGAATTTCAAATTTTCACAACATCCACAGAGAAAAACTAGCATGAAAAATAAAAATCAACACGTACCTTTTACGATAAGCTAAAATTGACCGAAATGGTGCGACACCAGTACCAGGCCCAACCAAAATCAATGTGTTGTTTTTGGTAGGCCATCTGCAAAATATGAATAAAAATTATCAAGCTCCTCTTGTTTTTTATTAAAACACAAAACACTCATCAGTTATGACTATTTAATTAGCACCTAGCAAAATATTGTACCTAGCAAAAAAAAGAATACCTAAATGTTCCTGGACGAGTCTTCACCAGAACAGCATCACCTTCCTGTAATCGACTTAAATAATTACTACATAAACCTAATCGTGTGGCTGTCATCCGCTTTGATTTATATTCAATCTGAAAATCACTTTTCATGAAATACAAAAAAAATCTGAAAATCATTTTTCATGGAATGAATATAAATATTTCTCAAAAAAAATTTTTTGAAAAATATTTATAATCATAATATGGCATTTGTACTCAAATCTGAGGAATTAAATAAATTCGCAGAAGTTAAATCAAAAAGATAACATAATCATTTATTTGTATAGTGATAAATATAACCTTAGCAACGAGCAGTTGGATAGCCGCATGTGTCAAAGGACATGAAGCAATACTAAATGCCCGTGGGCGAATGAGAGGAAAAACTTCGAAAAGCATTTCTACGGGTATATCTCGAGCTGTTGCATGAAAGTCTCGCAATGTTTCTGCAATTGTTCGCCTCGGTCTCCAACAATAATCCATGTAATCATCCTGAATAATAAATGTGTGTAAGGTAAAATCTAAATTTATAAAGTGAAAATACAATTTACAATATATTTCGCTAGCTCAAGAAGCCGTTCCTTCTCATCGTTTACTGTTGACAACTTTCCAAGCGTTCGAAAAAATGATCTTCGTGGAACCATTTGCAAATCAAAATAACATTCAAAACATTTCCGTAATGATAATGTGCCTAAAATTTGGGATTTTTACATTTCACAATCAGAAAAACTATTTATGGGGAAAGATTAAAATTACATCTGATTAAGCAAGAAAATTAGCGAGGAGTGACCATACGAATGACAATATTGCCACACCTTGCTTTTACAAAGAAAAATTTGAAAATCACTTCAAAACCTAATTTTCATGATTTGTTGGAAATTATAAAAAAAATTTACCTTTGTACAGATAAGAAGGAGGCAGTGAGATGCAAGTTTCACGTGAGCGTAATGTGATAGGCCGATCTAGTAGATCATCATCAATATCTAACGCTTTGTAAGCTATACTAAGGGTTTCATTCAAATTATTCGGATGTACCATTATCACATCACCAGGAGAATAACTGCAAATGAATAGCAATAGTTATATCTTCAATTTAAATAATTTGTAATTACTTCATACAGAGTCTTAAAACTATAAAATTTTTGAAAACTTCAAAATATGAAGTTTTTACCTCAGTTCTTCCACATTCATTGCCAATGTAATCAGTCGTGTATCCGAAAAATGTAACAAGATTTAGTCCAAAGAATTAAATAGATGGTAAAAACAAGTAATTACTTACATGATTAGTTGAAAAAATAAGTGAGGACCTTACACTTTTTTGTTTTACATATGTTTGATTATGTCAAATTTAGTTTTATGTTTAAATTAGAACACCTGAAAATGAGTTTCCGCTGTTAACCGTTTATTGTTTAAGACTGTTGTTTGTATGAAAGAATTTTCTTTGCTATTTTGAATTGGAAAAGAATCCTCATCGTAACTGATTTCATAACGTGACAGCAAACATTTGCTGTCATCAGGATTCAAAATCATGCCCTGTAAAAACCAATCGATTAAATTTTCAGCAATTCACTTTATAAACTCTATATTTTTCTAAAGTAGTTTTCAACCATGAGAAAACCGGTAAGTGTATTAGTTTTTATATTTTTAAGAAATTAAAATTGCTTCATTATTACAAAACATTTCGTCCATATGTTACCGGATACAAGTCCATTTTCCAGATTTGTTGAAATAATTCATCCCGAAAATACTCGTACGTTCCTTCGATGCCTAATTCATGCTGATCGTCCGCTAGAGCTAATTCCATCAAAAACGACGGACCTAACTGGCTTAACCTGCAATATTCCAATTCAGAAAGGTATAGTTGCAAAAGTAATGTGCAATAAAAATATGCTCTAATAGTTCATATAAATAAGTAGGTAAATAAATGAGTTAATATATTGTCCTTATATATTTGATAAATATCTACCTTCGGTACAACTTCTTCGCTGCAAAGTTGTACTTTTGATAAGTTGAGTCACCAAGTCCAAGGACAGCTAAATGAACCTGAAATTAACGGATGTACATTGATGAGGTATGCTGTAAAGTCGAAGCTTTTATTGGAGTAATTTTTTCAAATTAGATGTTTGGTCAAATTATTAAAAATCAATGCAAAAATATGGCAGCAATAATAAGGAAAATTTTTTCATTAAATAAACACAGAAAATACCGTATCCTTAAAGTAACCAGGCTAAATATTTTAAATAGTGAAAAAATTCTGTCAAATACGAAGCGGTCTAAAAAAAAAACAGTAAAGAATGCTCTCCAATAATCAAGAAAGGTGATATAGTTATTCACTAGAAGCAATAAAAATAAATTTATAGAACAAAATATATTTTTGACAAAATTTAGCATAAACTTGCATTTTGCAGTAAATTTTTAGGTATCGTTTTACAACATAAAATTCTCCAATTGTAACGTATGCTAGCTGGCATTTCACCTTGTCCACTGGTTGAAACTACAAATACCACACAATGCTCATTATTCAAGTTCTGAAAATAGGTAATCAAGAAACAAACATTTCATATTTCACACATGAAAGTTGTATAAAACACAGGATAAAGCAAAAATATCTTCAATATTAACAGAAAAATAGGAATGAAAATTTTTGACACTACTTATAAAGTTGTTATTACCTTTAAATAAATATGCCTGGCAATGTTCGAAGTAACGTTATAAAAAGTGCTATCGCATATTTAATTTTCTTAAGAAAGAATGACCCTTATTTTTCACGACAAAAGAACTAATTTCTCATATAAAATGTCTGATAATTCTTTTAATTATTCCAGAAAATGACAAAAAATTCTCAAAATAAAGACACTGAAATACTAAACGTATGATAATTTAAATTAACGAAACTATTTAGAAATTCTGATTTCCAATAAAATTAAGAGAAAAATTCTCATAAAAATATAGAAATTCTCAGACCTGCACCGTATAATCTCCAAAACTACGCACTTCAGCGGGGATATTGCGATATCGTGCATCATTCCATAATGTTTCCGCAACATCCTGAGCATTACCTGTTTCACTGCCATAAAGAATTTTTAATGTGAGAGAAGATGAAGAAGACATTTTCATCAACCCTGAAAAGAAAGGCACAAAATATTCTATAGCTTTCAAATGTTAAGGAAAATGGGAATTAACAGGTCTTGTAATGAAAAATTTAGGGAAAGAACACACCCTTACCTAAGTGGTATATAAATAAATGAAGAAATATATATATATACTCATCTTTTCGGCTAGCAAATAGAAATGTCTTTTATATTCCACATTCTAACATATGTATTCCCCAGAGTCATTTTTCTGATTATATTAATTCCATCAATAGTTCCTATTTCTTTTACGTATCAAGTTTATTACACCAAGCATATTGTTTTCTTTCCAAAAATTTGACAGCTTTTAAAATTTAAATAATTTTCGGGGAGATAACAGGTCATTAAAATGCAATTTCATGCTTTCTATCTTCATGAGAAGGGTACCAAATTCTCCGATATTTCTGACAAGGTAAAACCTTTATTTACCTGCTCTTTATTTCCTCAGCACTCATCCCACTATATTTTACTATTCCACGAATTAACTCAATTTATATTAGTGCATGTACTTCATTTGTCAGTATAAGTTTACTATTTCATTTGATTGGCAATTAAATCCACTATATTAATTAGTTTATCGACCAATTAAGTCTCATATTTTACTAACCAAGAAATCAGTTTTCATCTGCCGCTAAACAATCATATTACACTTAATTCACAAATCGTTCAATTTACAGTTAATAAGTAACCATAATTGATTGCTATTCTATAGCACATAACACATACATATATTTTTAATGAATGTGTTTTATTACAAATCTCGAAATGATAACAAATTTATATCAATTTTAATATTATTTATCTTATTTTCGATACCATTTATATTAATTCATATAATTTACTGAAGGCAGAACATTTGAAAGCATAGCGTGTCGTCGTTATTTCGATTCTCCGAGAAATCAGATACATATTATATTATAATAACAAGAATTAGTGAGAATGAGAATGGCTGCTGAGTAAAAATGTCGGACTAATTGCGCCAACGATAACTGAAATTAACTCGATGATCTTTAACGATGTTTTTGATTCACTGTATCCTCGACTAATACCTTCTGTAATATTGCTCGCTAACTGATAATCTTTGACGTTGGAATCCATCTGAAAGAAACGTGTTATTTACTTTGACATTTCAGATGATGATGTATATACAGCTTATGCTATATTGGTGAAGAAGATTTATTCATTAATGAAAGTATCTCTTCTTTCCTTCTTTCTGGAGCTGTTTTATGTTTTGAACTTACCAACTCAGGAAGTATATGCACAGTTGCAACGTATAGAAATGTTCCAGCCGAAAATAACATAAGTGTTCCAGTTGCCGAATCTGCTGAGAACTTATCGCTTTCAACCTGAAATTTAAAATAGAAATAAAACGACTTACTGTCTGTTACTTCCAGACAAAAAAGTTTTAAAAACTCACAGCAACAATCAGGTAGTATGTGACCAGTGCAGCCACTGGGGCTGCAATTGAGAAGATAGTTAAATGACGACGTATTCTGAACCGTTCAATACCTTCCACCAAAAGAAAACTGACCAAGCCGAACGCGGCTGGAGCCTTTAATGTATTTAAATATTTTGAAAGTTGAAATATGAGAATTAAAGTGTTTTGTCGATATGCTAAAGGAAGAGTGAGAAAGCTAATGCAATAATATGGCAAATATTAGACGTTAAAGATCATCGCCCTAAAGCAGTAGAGAAGAAAAATCATGCTGAGCTAAACAAGTTAAGATGCAGATCTTAATTTAGAGGACTTGTCGGAAAGTGGAAATCAGAAGATGCGTGGTTAATAAAGTAATTCGGAAATAAGCCAACAGTACCAACTTATTCGGATGAAAGAATGAGTTAACGATTCAAGTAGAGAGAAGGTTGAGTACACAAAGAGAAAGTTATTAAACTAAGCACTAGAGAATATATGCTCAATGTATAAAAGCGCCTTGATGATATTGGCAGCAGTGTATTAATGATCCAAAGAGTTAAATACTCATAGGCTAAAGCTTAGATTTAGCAAATAATTTTGATAATTGAGAGAATGATAAAAATCAACCTTATGAAGCATTATAGCAAGAAAGACAATAAATTGCACACCAGTGCGATTTGTTGCAGATGCGCTGCCAAAAGCGACTCCATCAGCTGCAAATACTAATAATTAAAACTGAATTCCATTTTGAAAAAAAAGATTCAAAATATTTACATTTATTTGCTAAAAGTACAATTTCAACAAGCATAATTTGGGAAAACTAAAATCTATCAAATGCAATTAAAATCTCAGCTGCAATTTCACTCCCATTTCCAATACTAAATCAATTAGAAAGTATCATAATCAAATCCACAAATAAACAAAATCTAAAACAATCGAAGACAAAAGTTTTTATAAATACAAACCAGCTGCATGCACTACCAAACCAATTGTTGCTGTTAGTTTAAACTGTGTACGGTCACCGCCTGAAATTCAATTTAATACATCCATAATAATTACCAAAAAAAGAACGAAAATTCTGAAATCATGAAAACTTTAAAACTTGTTTATTTTAAAATAGCCAAAATAATTCACATATTTAAATAACACATCTCAGTTATTACGGCTAACACTCCACTCAAAACATCATATAAAAGGAAGAAACTCTTTAGTGTCGATGATTCGTATCACAGATATTTGAAAACTGTCAGAGTTGGTCTTATTTTTAAAGCAATGTTGAAGTAACAGTCAGGTTCCATGATAGGCCTCAATACTATGAGAACTGCTATACCTCCAAAAAGAGATTCTTGCCTTCAGTGAATTTTAACAGATCAGCATACAAAGCCAAAATCAAACTAAAAGTAATTAATATGTCTAATACTTAAAAAACTTAAATTATTAATTTGAATTACACTGAACACACAACGTAAATCAATGACCAGAAAAATTATTTAAAAGCAGAACAAAAACAGTAGATATCGTTAATATTACACAGAAATTAACCTTTGGATGACAAGGATTTCGAAATTTGATCAATAAGAAACATAAATAAAAAGCCAATAACTAATGAATACCCAATTGATTGGTTTATTTCATTGAAATTAAATGGTTTTTCGAGATGTCCATGCTCATTGATTTCTGTAAAAAGATTGAAGAATTCTAGAATTAGTGGAGCAACCTTTGCAAAAAAACTGTTAAAGATCATGTACAATAGTCGGTGGAAGCTAAACTAGTACCACATCTACCAGAATTTACTGCTCATTACTGCTATGTGCGTCACATCATGGCGTAATCTGAATATCATAATTACACATCGGAAATAGCCTGTATTAACTTATATCAATTTTTCGAATAAGAGGAAAGAACAGAGTAGTTCACAAAGTCAGCATTAAGTAGCGCTCATTAATTTCGATGTTTACCAAATCGGTAAATTATTGCTATTTCCTGAAATATTTTGACCATAACTTCTTGCACGAAATATACCTTTTCTGCCCATAGCAGGAATTTGCCGCACTTGTCGTGCCATCCCTTTCCTAATATCATTTTTGTCGAAAACTCTTAAATTTATCCTTTCATTGAAAGCAGAAATGCAAAAATATTTAAATTATTATACCAATTTCAGGAAAAAAAAGATCCACAAAAGCCATACTAAAGATTTTTCAACAAAAAAAATCTAAATTTGTTTTAAATTTTCCAATTCCAATCAAATCTGCTTATGGAAATTCCACCAATCCAGTGATGAGGAAATCTTTCAAAAATGACCCAGAAGAGAAATGAAGGTGGCTCAAGAAATTTCTCCGATTCACATCGACTCCACCTATTGTTGGCAATCTTTTATTAATGAAGCTGTACTTTTGAATCACGAAAAATGAAAAAAAATACTCTAGATTTGACGCAGTAGGTCGTTTCAACGGGTTCGGTACATCACGTTGATTTTCAAAAACAATTTGGCTCATACCTTCATTCTGTACAGCTTCCGGCCAATGCTTTCCTAAAATCAGGGAAATTATTCTCCGAAGAAGTCTCTTTTCTCACAGCATATATTTGAAACGATCAAAACCGATTTGAGTTTTTTTCTTTCTACCGCCGGTTCAACTACACCATATCACCATAATTGAACCAAGAGCATTCAAATATTAAATTATTTTAATGATATAATAAAAATTTGGTCATATTAAACGATTAATAGAAATTCCCACAACTGTGAACAGATTAGACATTAGTATTCTGGGAAAAACGACTTAATCAAAGTAATTAATCACTCTATAGTCAGATAACTGGTCCAGCTCTTCAATGTAACTTTTTCTTTAAATTTAACTTCATTGCATAAATACAACAGCATATATGTTTAGTCCTTTGGCAACGGTTTATAATACCTATCATCCAAATCATTTCCCCTTCATCTACCTACGTTAAAGTTATCAAAGCTTTGGATCCACTGAGCAATAAGCCCTCTTGGCTTGAATTAAACTTTCAAAAAAAACATTTCACAAATCTCACCACTATCCAATGGTGCTGTAATCTTTCAAAGATAACTTTTTATGGGAATTATAATTTCATTAAGTTTGAATATACATAAAATTCTCGGCGCCTTGAGAAAATACAAATCTCAAAGTTGCTTTCCAAAAAAATAATCTCAAAAAGAGAAGGAAAAAGAATATAGAAATGAAGCACCAGCATGAACAATATATAACGCTTCAACACCTTCTGGAATAATTACGGACAAAGCTGTGCCAACCAATAAACCTGCTCCAAATGTGCTCAATAAACGTGTCCGTCCCTGAAAAACTTGTTTTAGCAAAAATTTTTTGCATCCTGCTGGAATTCATTTTTTCAATGCAGCCTAAATTATAATGGTCTCGATTAGCTGAAATTTAAAAATTTGTCAGAAGACAGCAATATTTTCCCGATAATATCGAATCCACCACGAAAGAAATGTTACAGTCAAATCTAATTTTACATCATTTAAAACATCAAGAAGGTTCTCTCAAAATTAATATGCACCTCGGACATGTTGAATGCAAGAGGTATTAATCCAGCCAAAAAACTTCCAACAAACATTGCAATCGACAAATACAGCAATAAGTAAAAACCATCCATCTTTCTCGTACATAAAAATTGCTTTGAAATTTAAATTGTAAATATCTGTGCTGAAATATCTTTCAAATCAAATAAAACAGAATAATTTAAAACAGACTGATATTTAATATTTAAAGGAAATAATGAATTTTGAATAAAATCTCGATGAGAGGAAATTCTTTTAGAGTAATTACATTGATGGTTTCGGATATCCTTCGCTAGAACTTATCCTCAGTTAGTAAATTTCCTTTGAACGAATAAATAAATTTGCTAGCTTCTTATTCAGTGCAAATATTCATATGTCAATTTTATTTTTAATAAAATAAAACAAAGTGAAAAAAAATACTTTTAACGCTTACTTTTACAAATCAGTTCATAAGAAAGAAGAAACTGAGTGAATTAGATAAATATGTCCTATGGATTATATATTCATTCGATTGTAATTATCTCTGAAAAAAAAACCCAATGTTTTTGTCATTTCATTCCATAATTTTGTAAACATTTACCCTGTTGTCGGTTAAAACTCACCATCTATTGTATTTCTTTACATTTCTTTCCCGTGTGTAATATTACTCTTATCAAAATGTTAACTTTCAAATTTGCCAAATGAAAAAGTTATATTTAATATGAAAAACTGATATCTATGCAAAACTTCTATTAAACTTAACTGCTTAACAATCATTAGACTTTTATGCTTATTAATCGATGGTTCAATATATTGGTGATAAATAAGAAATTAAAAATTCCATCATCAATGTCATCTAATTGTTGTTTAAAAATTTGAAAAGAAATAAAAAATATTGTAAGCAAAATCGTTTATTCCTTTTTCAAACTTCTAATGCATACCAATTTGTATTTTCGAACCATAACCAAAAGCACTAAGCTAGTAGCAACAACGACTAGTGAATAGATGACAGTTCATTGGTCGAGGCTCGAAATGTTAGCAAAATAAACTTCTTATATTTCTGACGATAATTAGGGATTAAATAGAGAAAGTGAGATATCAGTAAAAAGGGGAAGAGAACGAATAGTTACAATCTCAATTCTTTCATCAATTTCGAGGAATCTGTTATTTCCTTACTCTTTCATATCCATTTGTTTTTCTGACTACATGGCGGGTATAGTTTCTGAAGAAAGCCACAAAAATGGCTGACGATATCATTAATGAAATTAAATCAATCAGTAAATTAATTCATCTATTGATCGAGACCACTATCTAGTAAAACATGAGTCTCTAATCTTACAACAAATTTTTATGAAAACTTTTTAAAGTCTTACAACATGATTTGCCTTTTAATTTTGAGATAAGATGTAATTTTGGGCTCTTGTAGCTTACCGAAAATATTTCTAGTTTTGATTTGGTAACATGGTTAATTCCAGTACTTACATGATTATACCAGACATAGCACAGAGCTTGCCAGCGTTTGAATTCCTGAAAAAAGATTTTTTTTTCGTAATATTTCAAAATTTTCAACTGAAGCATGTCTCGAATACTTAACGTAATCGTTATATACATATATATATATTTATTTAATAATATATATAAAGAACTCAATAAGGCTGTAAAATATATGAACTGAAACCTCGTTATTTTTATCTGTTAAATAATCCAATATATAATAAAGCGAAAAATCTTTATCTCAACAATATTTCGTATTAACAAAAGTAAGAACGAAAGAATGACTATAATAGACGAATTAATACACGACCACCATAACAATAAGAATTATCAACAACTTCATTCAATGATGCATCATTTTGTTCTGAAGTGGTTCATTTTGACAACCGGCAACCTGTCCATTTCATCGATGGGCCGATCAGGATATTAATGGTACAAATTATCCACATTCACACGGTAATGTCAGATTTTTTTACATACTCTAATATATATAATGATTCGTCGTATTGTTTTTAACACTAATCAAACGCTATTACTCTCATTTCTTGACATGACAGTCAAATTACGCTTTTTTTTTGAAACTAAAAAGACACAATAGAAATGTCAACATGCAATACCTTCGTCAAATTTTGTTAAAAAAATTGATGGAAAATAAGGCATTGTTAAAGCATTGTTATGGCATTGTCACAAAAAAGCTCACGGAAATGATAGAGAAAATTATATATATATATAATTAATTAATCATAATAATATAATTGCATCTCAAGATTGAATTTACCGAAAAATATTCTAAGATAGATAAATATGCTTCATAAACTTCTCTTTGATATGTATCTGTATCAATCTAACGTGATGATATCACAATAACAAAGAATTGATGGATGCAAAAGCAGTATCGTAATAATTTCAACGAAACCAAAGTGTAGTATGTGAGACAATTAACCTCAGGTTATTATCCTGAACAGCGAGATGAGAACATTAGGCCTTGGAAAGCTGTACTAGATACATCAAACCACCTTCATAACATCGAAGTTTAAGCTTCAGTGATAATATACAATGAATAATAATTATACTTGAAAGTATTAAAGTACTCATATAAACAGGTATGAAAATTATAGAATTATTATTCACTATATGATCAACATGCCTTGTCGTTCATGTGAATTGCGTATGAGCAAAAAGCATTTCAGTAATGCCTTCTGTGATCAATTTGAATAAAACAGTAAATGATTGTATAAAACACGGATCAAAATATGTTGTAACACTGTTTTCTTAACCTCTGGACAAACTTACACTAATTAGTTATCGCAGTTAGTACAAAACACTGTACAAAATAAATCTTCCAATTTTATGAGCATGCACATCAAAAAATAATCTCTTCCCAGAAATAAAGTGCTTCAAAATTCAGACGAAATAATGAACTCATTGCGTGTCCATCGAGAAATAGCACTTGACATTTACATCACCACAAAAAATATGTGATATTAGATTTGGAAGTAGCATTTCGAAAGTGAATTTAAAAGGCTGACATAATTTTTTAATTACCTGATAACAATAAATGTCTCATAAAGTATATCAGATGTATTTAATGCCAGAATGAAAATAATGTTCTCTTAATTTTTTAGTATCAGTACTGATTAGTTCTCCAAGAGATAGAATGCAACCTGAAAACAAATAAGAAAGTAATCATGAATGATGACCGGCAGCCAATTAATTACAGATTTATAAATGAAATGAGCAAAAACTGTGAAATGCAGCAGTATTTTATTATTGAGCTTCACAGCGTCTCAGTTCGTGAAATATTTCAATTGTTTATTTAGGCTGAGACCAAAAAAGCAGATTAAAAGACAGCGATTTCTCTAACATTGAGATCACTGTAAATTTTATAGAATAAACCATCCTACCATATTTAGAAAGTAATAGTAACCAACATTTTTGTTAGTCCTTTTATTTTCCAAAGTATTAAACAAATTAAATCCAAAAAGTTGAAATCTGAACAATACCATTTTCAACTTATATCAAAGCGCGGATCTAGTTTCATTTGTTGTCGATTACTTTTAGTATCGCAATAAGTTTTCCTCTTCATTGAAATAAATAATTATCGATTGGACTCCATGATAAACTTCTTCTATTGCCATCTGAAAGAAATGAAACAAAATTCTTCTCTTTCTATCAAAAAAAATAAATACGAAGCCTCAACAAAAAAGAAAAAACACCAGTAAATGATGAAACAATGAAGTTTGCTGACATATGATGATTTTAAAAAAAGAAACTTTAGTCTGACAGACGTCCATAAAATTTCACAATCAACGAATAAGACAGAATGGATATTGCAAATAAATTTTGAACTTATTTAAATGAAAGAGACATTCCGTTTGTTTCGATAGAATTCTCAACTACCGTCAGTTCTGTATATAAATTTAAAAAATCAACAAGAAATGCTTATTTTTCAAGCATTCTGTCTCGGTTGCGGTTGAAAAGAAAAAATTCATGCAATAAATAGAAAATATCGGAACACTAAGTATGAAAATATTGGTCAACGGCAAAGTACAAAACAAATAAATAATACTCCATAATATTCACTTATGATTCGTAATTATGCCTCAAAAATCTTTTTCAGGATTGTAGGCTGTCATACTAAACCTTCATCTTTTTACTTAAATTTCCTAGCTTTATCAAAATTTTCTGCGAGGAATTCATTTAAATAGAATATATAAGCATTGCTAATAAGATTGAAATCAAAAAAGGAACCGCAATTTCCAGACTGCGCCAATTTTCAAATGCCTTTCCCTCACTCACTCCTTATCCTTTCCAAAATGATTTTCGGTAATCGTTCCACGTTGTTAATATCAATTAATTAAGGAACATTCGGCACTCTTGCTGGATTATACAAACAAACAAACTTCATAATTATCTTTTTTTTTTTAGAAATGGTAGTGTATTGAAAGACAATTACATCGAATGAAAATATGAAATAGATCGAAAGTACCTTCTTTAGTTATGACCAAAATTAAACAAAAACACTGACATCTTCATAATCACTGCATGCCATTTCCATTTTTGCTGTTGCGCGATCCAAAAATTGAAGTTTCGGCCGTTGAATTAATTAGCAACCTGATATTCAAAGTTCAAATTTTTAATTCCTTACTCATGCAATAATCAAAACAAAGTGGTGAATTATCCCCTAAAATAAAAGAGTTTAAAGCCTTTTCAAGTGAATATTTTTAAACAATACAATTGTCTTTTAAATCTGATCTTTTAAATCAGAAGAAATTAGGGGATATGAAATCAGTAAAAGCAACCGAACAAACAAAATATAGCATTTCTATGCCCTTACACAGTCCAAATGCCTTTCCCTCATTCACTCCTTAAATAATTTTTCTTCCGTTTTCCGACTATTTTACAATTCTTTCGTTTCCAACTATTTTAGCTCTTCTAGATTAACCGTCCCGCTTCGACTTTTTTACTCATATTTAAAATCATGAAATTGATGTAAACCCGGAGAAAATCAACAATAATAATGTGAATAATATGGAACCTTATCGAGAGCTATAATCAAAGCAACAATCCATAACTTCACAATTACCCGACTGACGGTTTCTTTTTGATGTAAGCACAACTG